TATGCATCCCTTATCCCTACGCCAAATACAGGTAAGTACTCTTTCTTCCCTCATAGCATTATACTATGGAATAAACTTCCTAGTAACATTGCCACCCTGCCCAACCTGAGTCAGTTCAAACAGGCAGTGGTGGGTTTGCAGTACTAGTCTTACTCCCAGTGTTTTTAAACTATTTTATCTCTTATCATCTTGTTTCACTATTAACATTTTAAACCATGACTAGAATACATTTTCAGTCTCACCTTTCAAGCATGTCAATGTTTGGACTTTTCTTTTTAAAGCTTTTCTTTTCACCTTTTACTAACAATCCGACGTGCACTAAATGCCTGCCTTTAACACTCGTAAGAGGGGCTGGCAGTATCCAGAGATAGATAGATAAAAGAGAACAATCGTCGGTCACAGAATCATTCAAAATAACCTATTGCAAATATTTGTGATACGTTTAAAAATAAGCGTACTTTTTCACTCACTTAATCTGTTTTGTAAATTAAATGTTAATTATTTAAATGAATAACATGCCGCACACGTTTTGCCTGTTTCTCAAAAAATATTTCCTTTGTGTCCGTAGCGCAAAATAATCTCCGTTGCATATTTTAGTGATACCTCTCATTAGATTATAGACGGGTCGAACGATCGGTATATACCGGAATACGGTATTTAGTGTGGTGCTCCAATTCTTTTTTTAGTCTCACTGACTATAGACTGGCTCATTGGCACGTTATTTATGAGGTAGATAAAATAAGATAATTATAAAAAGAATATGATATTCAAACATGACACTGTCACTTCAGTTAAACGTTTATTTTAATCCTTTAAAGCTCGGTGACATGTTGTACATCAGAAAAGCTATTTTTATTAGAAAATTTGAAAACAATTTGATTTTGTTAAAACAAAAAAAATGCACAAAATCGAGTCTAATATTTTCCCCATTGCTATACGGACAAATGCATATCTGCTAGACTGCACGCGCCGTCTAATTACATTATACATCAACATGTCATGATAAAACATTAAATTTTAGGGCGGACATTATAAAACCATCTTTATGCAAAACAAAGGGGGTATATTCATTTTGTGAAGCATATAAAATACCGCGGAATCGAGCTACGGGATATTAAAACATGTGTGCAAACACAAGTGCAGAAATCATAACAACACTAATACACTAATTAATATAACAGTGAAAAAGTACACTTTATCTCGAAAGCATTTTATACAGGAATAACTTCAAACTTGTTATCATGCAGTCATTCTTATAGTTTAGCAGGTACGTATATTAACGTCAATATACGTACCTGAGTATAGTTTTCAGACACTGATAAAGTGCTCTAATTTAATATCGAATTACAAATGCCGAATGTTACTGCCAGGTCTGCCAACTTCGTCACAAATATCTGCGGTGGATTTACAAACACACAATTCTGCATCATGAAAGCGTGTAAAACTATACATCTCTGCTGCCTGCATTTTACTAACGTTTTGGAAAGAGGAAAAGATCATTGTTTCTTTGCGTAGAAAATACCAAAAAATACATGTTTAACGATATTAAGTCAACAGATTAGAGGTATCAGTAGGACCAAACCGTCTATTTGCCTGTTGACAGCCTACGGCCTAAGCTTTCGCATCTTAGGACAAGATATTTATGTTGACATATTCACAATAATTGAGGAAATTTCATGAAAATCAAGAAAATATTAGCAACCGCAACTTTCGTTATGATTATTGATAATTCGTGATGAGTTCTTATTGGTAATTTAACCATAAATTATGAATATATATATATATATATATATATATATATATATATATATATATATATATATATATATATATATATTCATGTTTAATACAGTTTGGAGTGACACATTGTGTTTTACCATCCAACTTTTCTGACTTTAATTTCAGAATACGAATAATACACAATCCTGGTTCAGTCCTCATAACAGTTGTAAAACAGGGGTAACTATAAAAAATTTACAGAGAAACAATTAATTTAATGTGTCATCAAAGTTGAACTCTACTTCACAAGCTTAACAAGATATGGGTAAAAAAGGAAGCATTGAAAAGTTTAATTTCATTATGATTTTTAGAAAATACTTTTATATTTGCAGGGGCGTAGTTAGCCCGAAATCGATATTACGCACTCTCAGGCAGGGGGTTAAGGGGGCCGCCTTAGGCCCCCTTGCAGGTCCAGGGCAGAGCCCTGGTAGGGGTCCAGGGGGCAAAGCCCCCGGAAGCTCATTGATTTTCACCATTTAGAGATGTTAAAATTATGCATTTTCATGCCCATTTGAGGTCCATAAAATTGCAAATTGAAGTCAGAAGGAATTTAATATTATCATTAATAACTTTTTATGTTATGATATGACTTGTGTTAATATGTGACGTGATTTAGAGAACGTCTTAGATATAATTGCTAGATCGTATAATAATATTTCAAGGTATTTGATAAACGTTATATAAGGATATACATTGAATAAACAGACGCAAACAAATGACGTGTACGCTTTTACTAGTCAGCAAAGAAAAGTGTCAAACACAAATTTATCTACAACAACGTCAGCCTAGATCACCTTGTCTCTATGGATCTACAAAAGTCCTAAGCCAGAGAGGTGACCAGTGGTCATCGTTGAGCGCTAGAAAGTCTTTAGCCTTTTCCACATGATGAATGAACGTTCAGCACTGGCATTGCTGGAAGGAAGTGCAGACACTTGTTAACATTTGGATAAAGCTCTGTCGGTATATCTTACAGCACAGATTTTATAGTGGATGGAGCCTGCAGCAGTGATGTTTCGCACCGTGTTATAGATTTACAGAAAATAATGTGTTTTCTTCATTTTTAGATTTTTTTTTCTCAATTGAAATATCGTTACTAACTAAAATCTCAAAATGTTATCAGTTACTACGTAGCGATGATTATTATCTTAAATTACTTTCGCTGCTCAATGTTCGCGTAGCAGTCGAACTTCTGGTATTATATCTGTTTCTCGTGCTTTGATGAAAACGGTCGTTCATGGCTGTCATTTACTTATACGGCACACAGCAAGAAAACTGATTTCTTTTTGGGCAAATATGCTGTATATCACACTGAAAAAATGTCCTTCGCATTTGTGTAAATATTGCATTTTTTCATTTCTCAGTGTGATATCTAGCATACTCATTTATATATATACAGTAATTTTTTGTTATTTGTTTTTTTTTTTTAATTTATAAAGAGAGGTGACATACATAATGCCATTACAATAAAACGCATAGCAAATTATTTATTATTACAGATACTATGATATATACATGTATCGGATCTCACATGAGTTGTCATTGATGTAAAAAATATGATGTAAAACGATAAAAGAAAAAGGTACAAACCTTTGACGAGAGTTTAAGATTTTTTTAAGTAATGCCAACTAATGTAAGTTTTCTTTTTTATTACACAACAAATCGCATTCAAATTTGTGTAAATAAATACAGTTAAATAAAAGTTATATCGCCAGCACAATTTTCTTTTTCAAAGAGTTCAATCAAATTTAATAATGATCACACACGAATACATCTTTCAGATAAATTCGTGTGGGATTATATAATTTGCCAATAAGTAACTGATGAAAGAAATTATAAAAGTAAAATAATGCCTTTGAGACATAAAAATAAAAGAATTCTGGGGCATACTGGGCCTTTGAGGTTATACTTTAGAAGCGTCACTGAAAAAAGAAAACAACAACAACAAACACAAGAAAAACGTTTTTATAGGTACATATTTTTCTTCTTGTGAATTTTTTTGCGATTAATACAGTTAAAGGGATTCAGTATTTTGTATGGAAGTCAAAATACTACTTTGTTTACATTTTGCTACTTATATGACAAATAATTTCACATTAAGCGCTACTTTCTTCATGATAAAAGCATTTAACAAGCCCTGAAACCATTATTTAAATGTTTTAAAGCAGCACACCTCCAGATTCATGCTAATTTTCATGAAAATTTGAAAATGTATTTAACGGTTTAATATTGTAAAGTTTCCAAAATAATGCAATTTAGACATCATCAATGCCACTTACAACCTATGTAAATTACTATGAAGAGGTCAAAATATGCAAAAATAGCCCTTACTGCGTTCGTAAAGCAATAACATTTAGTTATACATACTGAAAAATCCGGTCATTAATAGCACATAACATGTAAAGTTTTACTAGAATTTTGAATCTTTACTGTATACCTTTCCTAAAATCTTACTACACTTTTCTCAGGTTTGATTTTATCGAAATATTTTTGCTCATTTGGAGGCGTGCAGCTTTAAAACTTAATCTCGATCATGTTTCTCCTTTTTTGAAGAAGTAATAATATATTCATTTCTGAGGCATAATTGCCCGTTTTCTCGACAGAATAAAACGTGGTTATAACAAGCGACGTCGTGTAATTTATCTTTCTGGCACCCCAATGCAAACGTTTAATAACATTGAAACTATAAAGTTTATCTGTTCCTGATAACGTTAGCTATTTGCTCCATGGGCGTCGCATCAGTGGTCTCGTCGGCGATACAGCCAAAGAATGGAGTGGCGTTGCAGGTCTCCACAATTGTTGTGCTGTTAATCTTGCCACATACAGTAACTCGTTCTGTATGTCGGGCGAAGTGTATTTCGAGCGTTAAAACCGTATTTATAATGCTTCATATACAAATAGTTCTTAATGGATTAATACTCTTGACGTTATATTATGATTGGAACTTATTACCTAAATACTTCGAAGATCTATATTTATATTAGAATCAATGATATAATTAGAGCTAGATCTATTTAAATGTTGGAACCATGCCTCAAAACCCTCCAACACCACCCACGCCTATACCCTTTAGTTTTCTCACCGTTTTTAGTATATTTGTGTTTTCGTTTTCCTGGATCAATGTTACGCACGTGCGTAGGTGCGTAACGCTAGCTACGCCCCTGAATTTTGTATGGAGTTCTGTAAGTAAAATTTATCAATGATATGTACAGAATGCCTGCAGTATGAGTCATTATAAACTACATCGGAGTGGTAACATCCGGGATACTCTTACGTGTGTATATCTACTTGTTTAAAAGTATTTGCATTTCAATTATTTTAGTTTTAGTTGTACAAATTTGCAATACATTGTTTATTATATCACATAAGATATTTGTACGTTGACTTATTCCAAACAAATCGTGCTCGGATATGACGACGTTGCTTGTACCTGTTCTATTTTTAGCAACAATTGAAATTACTGGAAGCCAGGAATTACCAGGTAAATAACGCAATTAGCTTTTTTAATTGTCTTTTAGATTTAGAAATGTTCAAGCACAAGTCAGCGGTCAATAAAAATACAGCTAGCATCACCATTAGCTCGTTAAAATTCAACAAATGTAATCGTTTTTCCGTTACATATGTTTCCATCTTACAAAAACCACAGGACTTTTCCGAATATTTCATCCATACTAGGGGTATAGATAATAACGTAAACGAGACTTAGCAGCTGGAGGGTGAAGTTCAATTATTATTCTACTGCAGCTAGACTGAGATGAATATATCAGATGACCAAGCAGACTTTTAGAGCATACATATACAAAATGGGACAATGGCTTGGTTAGCGAGTTGGTAGTAAACCATGTGGTCCAGGAGCAGACGATTAGAATAATAATTAAACCTAGGGTTAACCATGCTAACATTTTGGTAAAATCTTGAAACAAAGTGATCCCTCGGAAGCATTAATGGACTCGGCCCGGTGAATTTTCGTACTATTAGTTCTATAGTTAATCAGTCAAATTTGAGGTTTAATTCTGGATTCCAATGTTCTTGATGAATTATATACTGTCTTCAACTTTAAACATTAACACTATCTAAGTCAAATGATGCCCAAAATATAATAGGTTAGCCATCTACTTTTTTCAGAAATCTTCATTCTGTTGTAACACTGTTTAAATTCACCACTTTAAAAACTCCTGACAGCTGGTGGGTAGTACATCTTTAATCCTTCCACCAACAAATGAGTTCCTGGAGAATACACAAAAAACAACTTTTAAAGTCATCATATAACACACAAAAACTACACACATGCAATAAATACACTTTAATTATGAACAATCTAACTAGAGATGACTTAAATTGGGCCATTTCATAATTTTAAAGAACTACTTTCTAGACTACAATGGGCTGGGTCTAATTCCGTACCGGGTTGAGACCTAAATGAATCCAAAATTAAGTTAAGCCAAACTTATATACTCATTTCCTAGTAATTAAGTGTTATACAAATACAGTCATATAGGTTTGACATGTCTCTAACAAATTACATTAATGAGGTACAATTTCTTAAATATGAACCTTCATGCGAAAAGTCAGGCTCGGCCAATAGAATTTTAAGCAAAAATTTATATTACAAATTCTGTCATATCTTTTGATTCTGTAAATGGATTTTCTTTGAATAAAGTTTAATGTTACCGGCTAATGTCATACAGTTACTTCTATGAAAGAATAAGACCTTATTGCTTAAAAATTGTAATAGAAACTCAATTTCTTTAAATGAGAGCATGGAATTTTGGGTTAAAATACAAGTAATCACAATTAAATGTGCTTTTTTTCAAATTTTTTCCTTCAATATTGTAATAAAACTTACTGATTATGATTTTTACCTATATTCCATGGTAAATAAAGTAAAGAACCAACATACACACCCTACATTGTTTGCTTAAGATATCAATAAAGACAAACAGAGGTAATCTTAAGGTTAGCAAAGAGGTTACCATATCACCATGGGCTGTGTCTTCTGACAAAGTAAGATTAGCCAACTCTCACACAAATAAGGCTTTAAAAAGATGACACATACTGTCCCCCACTTTAAATCATTGAGAAGTCTTAATATAGTCAGAATTAGAGAAATTTTCTCCTGAAATACATCAAAATAACTACCAAATATTGCCCGAGCATTGGGAGGCGCTACCGCCAATAGCTGAGGTTTCAAACTAGACATAAGTTATTACCTTCTCAATGTGTCCTGACAAAGCTGCTGCCAAACAGAGCTGAAGGAGTCCTTCCATAGATCTTTACCAGGATAAGGTAAGGTCATATACTCAAACTCAGGCTTTGGCAACTGCATGGTCTGAAAAAATATGCAACACTAGTACATGCTTAAGAAAATTATAAGGGGCATTTATGCTGTAATTCTAATATCTGAAAAAGAAAGAAAATAATGTCTTAATTAATAAATGGCTAGATTTGCTAATTCACACAGGAGAGTTTATATAAATATTGTGTTCTGAAAAATGCATGCCTGCATGAAAATAGCAGTTTAGATATTATAAACCTAACCTAATTTAACTGCTGTAGCAGCTACAACAACAACAACAACAATTATATCAACTGTGTTATTCTAAATGAGCCAATTATCCATAAAATACACTGTTTAATGACTAGAAAATCTTTTATGTGTATATATTACTAGCAAATACATTCTGCAACACAGCAAAACATCAAGTTTCACTACACTGAAAATGCCTATATTTCCAAAATATAAATCACATTTGTCCTGTTCAATTGTTAGTTCTTCTTCATTTAAATACAGTACAATAGTGAATATTTACAAACTGATTACTACAGCATCAATCCTTTGCTGAAACATCAAAACATATAATGTGTGGTCCATATGAGCAATAGGCTACTATGGTGCTTAATGTTCGAATCCCATGGCCGGTGAATCTTGGGCCCCTTAGAGATCTCTGGAATGAGCTTGCCGATCACTTTTTTTACCAATGTAACCAATCTGAAACCACACACTCCCCAATTCCTTCAATGCATAATTTATCCATAATTTAAGATGCATTTCTCTAAAAATTATCATTTTCTATATAAATCTTGTAAAAAATAAGCTAGATTTATAGCATATTGCTAAACACAGGGTGCAAAAATAAAATTTATCAATTTATTAACTGCTTTTTACAAAATTTAAATTTCATTTTTTAATTCTAAATTTATTTTTACAGTTTTAATTCAATAAAATGTGGTTAATCTTTCATGCAAAAGCTCTGTAGCCTTCTCCCTGCTTACTGACACAGTAGCAGACATCTACATTTGAAGGGGAGATAACAACAACAACATATGTCCCAATTTAAAATGTCAAATTTTAAAATTTTAAATAAAATCTAAATTTTTCAAACCTGTCACTCAGTAATCCTTTATTTTCCTGACTTCTATTCATAAACACAACACTGATGCAAAGTTTCATCCATATCCATCAACCAGTTCCCATTTTTGACATTTCTTATCTTGGACTCGGCCCGGTGAATTTTCGTACTATTAGTTCTATAGTAAATCAGTCAAATTTGAGGTTTAATTCTGGATTCCAATGTTCTTGATGAATTATATACTGTCTTCAACTTTAAACATTAACACTATCTAAGGCAAATGATGCCCAAAATATAATAGGTTAGCCATCTACTTTTTTCAGAAATCTTCATTCTGTTGTAACACTGTTTAAATTCACCACTTTAAAAACTCCTGACAGCTGGTGGGTAGTACATCTTTAATCCTTCCACCAACAAATGAGTTCCTGGAGAATACACAAAAAACAACTTTTAAAGTCATCATATAACACACAAAAACTACACACATGCAATAAATACACTTTAATTATGAACAATCTAACTAGAGATGACTTAAATTGGGCCATTTCATAATTTTAAAGAACTACTTTCTAGACTACAATGGGCTGGGTCTAATTCCGTACCGGGTTGAGACCTAATCACAACAAAATTACATAAGAATTGCAGACTCGGTTTGATTGAGTCTGTACATGAGGGATACTGAATAAGTGCAACATCCCTCCGTAAAAACCGTAAAAGCTATATTACCAAAAATAATAATCGCGCTTTTATTCTTAGACTATTAGCTTATCAATGTACAAAATTTATATATATATATATATATATATATATATATATATATATATATATATATATATATATATATATATATATATATATATATATATATATATATATATATATATATATATATATATATATATATATATATATATATATATATATATATATATATATAAGCCAGGTACATCAAAATAGATGTTAAAGTAAAAAGTATAACAAAATAATTCTTTACTTTTTACTGTAGGCTACAGAGTATGTCCTAAAGAAAAGCTCTTAGGGTTTTATTGACCCCTATTGAGTCATTAAAATCACAGACACTTGGGGTGTTGAGCTTAAAACGCCTTTAAAATCCAAATAAAATGTATATTTGTCAATCCCAGTACATGTACTGATCATATATATCAAAAAAATTAAATATAAGCCGTTTTGAAAAAAAGAGTCATATTTCAACGTCTATAAGAGTAAGAGATGAAGCCGAATAACAAGTTACATATTGAATGAAAAAATGAATGTTGTTGATATTTATTTGCAGGGTCACAGTTACATAATTTGTTGAATACACATAAACCAGTTATAGAGTTTAGTAATTCCTCAATCAATGCTTCAAGTGGCGAGGTTGTGTTAAATGCAGGGACTTATGGATATGAGAGAGCATTTCGACAAGGTGACAGTCTTAATGTTACATGTTACAGCAGTCTACCTACATTATGGTTTGTTGTTCAAGGAGGAGAAAGAAGTGTAAGTACATATAAATACATGTATATATGACGGCTATATATGAGCCGCGCCATGACAAAACCAGCGTAATGCGTTTGCGACCAGCATGGATCCAGACCAGCCTGCGCATCCGCGCAGTCTGATCAGGATCCATTCTGTTCGCTTACAAACCCTATAACAAGTAGAGAAACTGATAGCGAATAGCATGGATCCTGATTAGACTGCGCGGATGCGCAGGCTGGTCTGGATCCATGCTGGTCGCAAATTAATTACCTTGGTTTTGTCATGGCGCGGCTCATATGTTTGTAACATTTTGATATTATTTATTATAATACAATAAATTAGTTAAAGTCATAATTTGAATAATTTTCATATTTAAGTGTATTAATTTGTTTTTGTTTGTTTTGTTCTGATTTATCACTGAAGCGTAACAACGGTGTTATCTGGAAAAGGGTGTTTCTTTTTAAGTTTTTATGCATGGGCGATACAATGAATTTGAAAGTGATCCAAAAATGTAAAGATGTCAATATCGGGTGTGTTGCCCATTTGCGTTGATTACAGCTGACGTCATCTCCTCACTGTTACTGATAAGCCCGCCCATGGCGTGTTAAGGCACTTGCCCATCTTCCATTATCGGAATTTTATTGCCTTTAATCATTAGCTAGCAGAATCTCCAGAACGAATGTTTGCCCTTCATAATTATGAACACATTAACATTTTACACGCTTAATTTGATGTGTTGACTTTACCATTCTCCATTTTTGAACAAAATTGTGTTAGAGAATTAGACTGTCGGGATGCAAGACCTCATTATAATAGCACTGCATCAAATAAGTGTGACAGAATGGCCTGAACGGAATGCATAATAGCTTTATTTTTTAAACTATTTACTTACCAACTATTTTCCAAAAGTAACTTACGAGGAGTGTTCAAATATGAATGCATCGAAGCACTTAAAATTATGTTGCACTGATTTTTTTATCAAGTTCCTTCAAACTACAAACTATTCACCTCCGTCGTATATATACAAATGAGCCGCGTCATGACAAAACCAACATTTTTGCGACCAGCATGGATCCAGACCAGCCTGCACATTCGAGCAGTCTGATCAGGATCCATGCTGTTCGCTATCAGTTTCTCTAATTGTTATAGAGTATGTAAGCGAACAGCATGGATCCTGATCAGACATTTTCAAAGTCTTTTTTAGATTTACAATAAAAAAATCTTTGAATGTTGTAGAAGCATTAAACAGATTTTCGACCCGAATTTGAATATTTTTAGCTTTGGAAACAATTGGCAAGGTCAGGTAAGTATGGAGAATGTGGAAGCACAACAAATTGTTTTCTGCTTTAGAAAGTATTGCACTTTAGACGCCTATTGACGCGTTTCATGCAACAATCTGACTCTGACATTCGGGTCTTCATTTTCGAAAGTATTTGTTTAGATTTCGTATAACTTTTGTCTTGTAAAATTTCACATTAAGAGATTTGCCTTTTAGAACAGCAACCTGAATGACGAAACACAGAGTTGTAAAGAAAATGGCATACATTCGACTTTTCACCACCGCAAGTCCGTGTTTTCGTTGTCTGAGTTGTATATGTGTATCGCGGTGGTCTTTATGAGGCAACTAATCACATTGGACGTGGATTTTTCAGGGTGATGTGTAAATATTTCATGAAGAAATTTGAAGATCATAAAACGTGTATGTTAATTTCAATAACTTACCACAAATGTCATTGTTGATTTTGAACATATCGCAATTACCAATAAATGTTCACAGTACCCAGTCGAGCAAGATAAGAATATTTCAACACTCTTGTTTATCATTTTTACAGGGTCCGGATTTTTCACAGCAAGATGTATTGGGGGAAATAAACGTTACGCATCAAACTTATTTTGGACGACACGGGCATTCTTCAAATTTGTACATTGAAAATATAAAATATGATTACACTGGATTATATGTCTGTACCTTAGCACAGGATTCTAAAGTGAACAGTAGCATCTATATTTTTGCTAAAGGTACGTATTATATCTTATATAATGATCCGCAATGACATTATAATTCTGACATAATAAGTCGACATATTGCAACTTCTTCAGTATGTTTCCGCTATTTTGTTTTGTTAATGTTACTATGTCAGTTGTAAAATTTCAAAATTTATTCATTTTCATTGTTTTCCTTTAGAAAAACACGTGTAAAACTTCGATGCCCAGAGCTGAGATACTTGGCATGCATCATCACTTATAGGACCATAAAATTAATCATGCTCCTTGGGTCAATATTGGCCCCGCCCCGGAGGTCACTTAGTTATATATTTTTGTGTAAGAAAACACATTTAAGTCTTATGTTGGCTTAGAGTTTAGATATTTGACATTTTGGCCTTTACAAAACTAATATTTATCGTGGAACTGCCATTGGGGTAACTTATTTGAAAGTATGAGAAAACGCATAATTTCAGTCTTATATTGTAAAACTACAATGCTTTGCGCTAAGATATTTCGCATCTATTTTTACCCTGTGAACTGCTGCAAAATTGGTATTAACCTGGGGTGTCAAAATTCGCCCGGGCGAGGACACTTGATTAAAAAGGAAAACACATTTGAGCCGCGTCACGACAAAACCAACATAATGTGTTTGCGACCAGCATGGATCCAGACCAGCCTGCGCATCCGCGCAGTCTGATCAGGATCCTACTGTTCGCTATCAGTTTCTCTACTTGTAATAGAGTTGGTAAGCGAACAGCATGGATCCTGATCAGATAGCGCGGATGCGCAGGCTGGTCTGGATCCATGCTTGTTGCAAACGCATTTTGTTGGTTTTGTCGTGACACGGCTCATTTATGGCTTATTGAATGAAACTAGAAGTCCGAAGCTTTGATTTTTGGCATGTAGCATCAATTTGTAGATTTCTACAAAAATAAATATATCAATTAATACCCACAGGTCAAAATTGACTCCACCCCGGGTGTCACTTGCCATAACCTAACTAAAGTATAAGAACAAACATCTTATCTTTTTGTGGATAAAAACTATGACTCTAAATTTTGCATATAGCACTGGCTTAAAGTTTTATGAATCATACACTTAACCTTGGACGGCATATAATATTGTAAAGGACTGTGGATGATTACCAAATAAATTACTTTTAGGACCTTATAATGAATATATCAGTTTAAACAAATCGTGTTTAATGACAATATGAACATCAAAATAGGATAATTTATTGACAAATGAGGTTAATAATGCTCAGTTAATGCTTAACACTTACCTGTCAGGATACCCGAACTTGCCCTGCTAGGATACCCGAACTTGCCCTGCTAGGATACCCGAACTTGCCCTGCTAGGATACCCGAACTTGCCCTGCTAGGATACCCGAACTTGCCCTGTCAGGATACCCGAACTTGCCCTGCTAGGATACCCGAACTTGCCCTGCTAGGATACCCGAACTTGCCCTGCTAGGATACCCGAACTTGCCCTGTCAGGATCCCTGAACTTGTCTGAACCATTCATATAATTTGCTGATTATATTCGTTTAGATTATTTTCTGGTAAATGGTGAAATTATGACCATGATATAAGACATTCTGAGGCTCTTTTATACTTCATGAAATGATTATTTTACTTAATTACTTTGTTGCATCAAAATGGCCGACAAGAGTTGTCTACCTTGATTCAAAACTTTAAATGCATTTTTTCATAAACAATACAAATACTTATCATTTTACATGTAAGAACACAGAATGTAATCATTTATTACCTAAGTTTACCTTGACTTAAGTTAGTTTCCAAATATTTAGTTGGCATTGCTGTATTTCGACCAGTAAGTTTGTCAGGAGGGAAAATTCAAATTCCTGGCACTTGGAAACTTTTTATATCAATAGTTCATTTTTCTAAGCTAGAATCATGATTGTGTTTGGTCCAGTTTTTTAGTGAATTAAGTTAAGCATGTAATTGAAGTGTTCTTTGCATATTTTGTTATTTGTTAACTTTGTTAATTTACATATATTTTCTAAATTATTCCTGTCAAGATGGCTGCCATTGTAAGAAGTCTTTCCTGCCAGAATGCAAGGGCAATTGCAATCTTATGATTGGTCAATCGTGACAGTCCTGGCTATTTCAGAGTCTATATAAGTAGCAATGACAGACAGTTTTCAGTTTGCATTTGGCTTCAAAATCTGACAGTCGCGAAAACTAGTTACAAGATGACTTCGAAATATTTTATAAAAAAAAATTATATTGATAAATCTAGCTAATCTAGTGCTCTTCAGAGTTGAATAAAGAAATTGTGGAATCAACTTTACAATATTCTTTTCAGATTTGGAGAGACCATTTACAGATCATAATTATGTTGACATTCCAAACTACCCAAATGACCTTGTATTGTACCTGAAGACAGAATTTACAATCCCGTGCCAAACAAGTTTTCCCGACATAAATGTTACATTCCGTTGTCTTTGTGCTGATCCGAAACCTTTGGGACCAGAACAAGGAGTTGTGTTTGATCCTAAAAGAGGCGTAAGAATAGAAACGGTAGATAAATCTTTTGATGGTGTGTTTGCATGTGAAACAAACGTAAATGGCATTACTTACAGCAGAACGTTTACACTTTTGTTAATAGGTGAGTGGTCATTTGCATGTTATGTGATTAAAAGTATTTGTTAAGGAAGTCCACTACAATTTATTGGCCAAGCTACCATATCATATATTGGAGCCGTGCCACTGCGCTAAACTTGAAAGTACAAACACCACAAATATGTTAGTTGGCAGGTGCATGCATGGTTACAGTTGGGTGAGTGAGTGTGCGTGCGTGTGAGTGAGTCAGTGAGCCAATGAGTGGGTGGTCCCAAGCTATTCTCATTTCTTGATTTTAAGAATAAAAATGTGTATTGTAATTAAGTTTTAAGTACTTTAGATGAATTTGAAATAAGCTCTGGGGTGAATTATTCCCTGCAAAGGAAACAGATCTGCGGATGTGTAACTTGAGCATAATTATAACCAATTAATTCTTTTAAATAGATTCAGTTTTCCCATTTACATTAAAACCGGCTTTGCAACCAAGTGCAGATGTACATAAATATATCGGAGAAGATTTCTTGATATCATGTTTCGTGGAAGTGCTTGTCGGGATAAGGCCAGTTATCACGTGGTTTCACTCTAATACTGAAGTACAGGTATGAAATTGACAGCTAAGGTATTTCCTTTATTACTATTTGGAACTTTCAGTTCATTACCACTAGCGCAATGTGGCTGTCCATACATAACACAAACCACATTTGGACACAATGAATTTTAGTCCATCACGATAAGCAAAATGTTTCATTTGAAAAATGTGCACAATAAATGAAAGTAATATTCATATTTTTGTAAACAATTGCATATTATGCGAATATTCCAAATAATGCTGAATATATTTTTCAGAAAAAGCATAATAAATCAGTAAGCTGTTTTTGAATAAAAGTATTACATAACATGGCCGTATACAAATTAACTATTGGACTGTTAATACTCTATTTTTGACAACAGGAGAGTAATCGGATCAGCATAACGAAAGTTCATAAAGTTGACAGTGGTTTAAATGACTTTGAAGAATTTCGAAGCGATCTTTTAGTTAGAGGCGTTATCCCCTCTGATGACGGTATCTACAAATGTACAGCTTGGAATAGTCCTGAAGACAAAGGGGAAGTTGATATCAACTTCTTTGTACATGGTATGTATGATTAAAATCATGAATTAAAGTTATAAGTTCTCATCTGGTTGTCGCATAGGGTAACACTTAAATAACGCTTATTATACATGTTTATTTGTTAATTATGGGTAAAATAATATTGTACATAGTTTGGGGACCTTCTTTGAAAATGGTAAAAGTTAAATAAAAAATATCATAAAGGGGGTTTAGTTCCCCGCACTCAACATGCCATTGATTGTTAAATTTTGCTGGGGTTTAAATTTTTGGAAAACAGAAAAAGGGGAAACATAGAAAAAATAATTCAGATGCTCGTTCATTTTTTTTTCGGGGTTTTTCATATTTGACATCAGGAAAATGTTCTTATTTTTTAAAATAAAAAAGAGAAAAACTCAAAACCTCGGCAATCTATTTAACGGGGGGGGGGGATACCCCCCTCGTCAATCAGATACCCCATTTTTCGTCCCTTTTTATTACTTTAGAAGTTTTTTTTTAAATATCAAAAAATGCCTTGTCAAAACGAAAAAATTATTTTTTGTATGGGGACCAAATCTTCATTGAAAAATTTTGAATATTTTTATTTTTTTTATTTTTTTGAAGAATATTTCCCAATAAAACTTGGTTAATACAACTTTCGTGAACCCGGTTGTTTTGCATTTACCGCCGGTGTCAAGGTAAGGCCCCGTTACAGAAGAAAAGGGTTTCCGGAAATAAAGATTAGGAAGAGATTTTGAAAAATTTTAGTTTAAACAAGTTTATATAAGAGCCTTGTTGGGGATTGCAAAAAATTTAAAATAATTTTTTTGTTACACAGTTAAACTTGCATTATACCCCCCCCCCCGCACAACAAAGTCGTAAGTCAAGGTCACAGGGGATTTGACTAAAAACTTGCCCGTCCAATAACTTAAGAATCCTTTTGTGACCAACTCCCTATTTGCGTCGGGATAGTAATAATTAAAAATGACACCTAAAGATTTTGAGGTCACTGGGGGTAAAGGGCAAGGCACATGGGCCTTGACTTCAAAAATCTCCTCAATAACTTAAATTTCTTTGGCACAGTCTTAAATTTGGTATTGGGCTCGTAGACCATTTTGTACTCAAAATGATTATGAGGTACCAGCAAAATTCAAGGTCAAAGGGCCTTGTAACATAAAAGGTTCCCCAATGATTAAGAATCCTTGTCACACAGTCCCATCATTTTACAGGATTTATTGAGGTGATTATTAGATGACCCTTATTGTTTTTGAGGTCACTGGGTCAAAGATCACGGGGCCTTGACTAAAAAGCGTGTCCGCCCAATAACTTAAGATTCCTTCAAACCAAAGTCTTCATATTTTGCATGGAGTTTGATCGTTTAGTGACCCCTATTGATTATGAGGTTACTTGGTCAAAGGTCAGGGTAACATGGGCCTTTAGTTTAAAAAGCTTGTCCGCTCAATTGCTTAGGAATGCTTTGGTCAACAGTCTTCATATTTGGTATTGAGGTTGGTTATGACTAGAAGATGACCCCTATCGATTTTTTAGTTGACTTTGTCAAAGGTCAAGGTCACAATAACTGTCTTGCTCAAATGCTTAAGATTAGCTGTTCACAGTGATTGATTTTGACATTTTCACATTTGAAGCACATAATTATTCTCATATATTCATACATAAAACACCCCAACGAAAAGCTGCATGAATTGGGGGGGGGGGGAGGAGGTATTTTAAGTGATGCAGTGGCCCCGTTCCAGTTTTTAGGCCAGTAGGTCAAAGGTAAAGATCACTTTGATCTTTGCCACTAAAAACATGGAGAATGCATAACTTAGCAATTCACTTGCTTACTACCCTCAGATTTGGCAGTGAGGTAATCCTTGGGCTCTAAAGACCACTGTTCATTCTGACAAAGTGGTATGCGGGGGTATTCACGCCATGAATGTGGCAGTTCTAGGTTGAGTTCAAATTTTTCTTCAGACCACTGATTATTTTAAAAAGTCAAAAGTGATAGCTCTTGTTGTTATTATTATTATTATTTTAAAGTTATAAATATAATCTAACCTCCGGTTCAATCTCAGCAACTCGTATTCATATTGGCAGAGCATTGTTTGTTTCCAGCGTGATTTTTTAAATCTTTTAAAAGTTTATGATGCATTCTTATTTTAGAAAGGGCGTTTGTGACGCTTGTGGCTGAGGAAGAAAACATCACTGTCACAGAGGGACAGAGTCTAAAATTAATTTTTCATAAAATTTCAACCTACACAAAAAACCCAAATTTAACTGGGTAAAATCCTACCAAAACACAAAAACGAAAAAACTCAACACTGTTTATATTTTAACCCTTTTGTGTGTAAAAACATAATGTAAAATGACATATGTTCGTAATATCCGGGGACCTGATTTTTGGTGGCGATTTGACTGTCCGGGAATTTAAAAATTTTTAATTATTTTTATCTAGACTCCCAAAAGAAAAACGACAGGGACTCATTATTTCCCCCATTCCGAGCCCTTTATATTATTTTAACTTTGGCCCCGGCGTTTACTGCCTTTTTTGAAAAGAAAAAAAAGGCCCTTTTCTAAATTGCTTTTTTTGACCCTTTTCCCCAAAAAACAAGATAAATTAAAAATGGACAAGAAAAACAAGTAGCATTGCTATTTTCTTTTTATATGCAGAAATGATGGCGGCATATTTTTACGAGTATTTTATCCGGATCGTCATGATGCTGGTATTTATACAGTTATTGCCTTAGTTAAAGATGTAAATGCATCGCTGGATGTACGCCTAATAGTGGAGTGTAAGTTATATATGTAGTAGTTTGACTAACTTAAGTCGTAGTCCTTTGCCAAGTAACAAAGTCATCTATTTACTAATCTGCAAAAGAAAGGGTGAAACTATATAACCTTGTTTGGAACCTTTGTATTTCATTTCTAAGAGATTTTTTCAAGTTTTACGAAAACTCAAAAACAGTAACTGTTAAAATCATTTGAGATATCCATTGAATATAATTAGCTTGTCCTATCTAACCACAGCCTCAACCCAAAGGGAATAACGGGGGCTTATAGATTTAGATTTTCAACATCCAGATTAAGCCCCGACTTGCGGAGAAAGAAAGAAAATCCCCGCTTGTGATTTTGACATATTCCCGGCCAATTTGCTGCAAAAAAAACGTATTGACTCGGCAAAGAATTTGTTTTAAATTATATTTTAAATATAACAAAAGCCATGAATAAACAACAAAGTTATAACAAAATTGATAATTTTGAAAAGATAACCTTGATGGGCAAGGGCATTCAGAGGTCAATGAAATATTCACTTCAGGCAGTTTTGCAAAATTATTTTTGTAGGGGTCGGGGATGGGGGTGTAATTTTTTTTTTAGGATCCGAAGTTAGATAGTTACCGTACTTACTTTCTTGGGTGATAATATTTAAAATAATGTCAGAACCTTATATATATTTTACGATGTGTGCAAAGCTATTTTAGCGTCTCATAAATTTGTAAAATTTTCAAGTAGAAAATTTCTTTTGGTAAGTTTAAGCTTCTTCAAAAGCGTATCTAGAGTTTCAAGAAACAAAGTATCAAGCAATTATTACATCCACATTAAGAAAAGTCATAACCTGCAAATGTCTCTGTTTCCCCATATCCCGTCTCATTTCTTTATATTATTAAATTGTATCAAAAAACAGCGTTAATTGGTAAAAAAGACATAACGCTGTTACGTGATGTGTCGACTGTCGACTTGACTATACGATGATGAAAAGTCAGCTCATCTGTACTTCAGTACTTTGATTTTGAGCTGTCCGGAAGTTCTGTTTTTAATGCAACTCGAAATTACAATGTTAGAAATTTTACTATTTCATTGCAGATTTACCTGAAGTGAATATTACGTCAAGTAACGGAGGCTCAGAATTCTACCTTACTGACGTTGAGTATAAAATCATCTGCAGTTTTAAATCAGTCCCGCTTACCAAAAGGATTGACTGGTTTGAACAAACTTGTGAAAGTCCAACAAATTGCAGCATTCAGGGCAATAAATGGGAACCCGTCAGCTTTATTTCCGGTTTAGACTTGTATCCGAAACTGGTCAATTTCAAGGCCGTCAATCAAACTGTTGTAAGTGAGATGATTGTGAAGGACTCGGTGACAGGAAGTTATAAATTTTACAAATGTCAAGGTCACAATACAGTTGGCTCAAGATCGGCAACTATACCATATGTAGCAACAGGTATAGTTTACAATAGATTATTTGCTGGATCTTTATACATCTTGATAACATGTATATGTTTAGTACTAGAGCTTAATATATATGTACCGTTGTAGAGTTAATAGGAGGTGTGTGTTGGGGGGGGGGGGGGTAGGGACCAATCAACGAGCCGAGCACCTGTGAGTAGTTCTAGATAACCAACAGTATGATATATTATTTTGAGAAAAAAAAATTGACAACTTTAAAAAAAAATATAAGATTTAATTCCTTCTTTGGAAATTTCTCGCGGTATGCCCTTCCATTTTTTATGACAAAAATATATTAGAATTAGAGACATTTCGTCATTATGTATTGCAATAAATGCAGCACAATAATGGAATTCGTAAGTCAAGCATGGAATCAAGCACGGAGCATACTTTAAGTAGCACTATTCAACAAGACATACATACATACATACATACGTACGTACGTACACACGCACGCACATACATACATACGTACGTGCGTACAGCTGCAGCTTTTTAAAACTGTAACTTTTTATTATAATTCTTCATGAATCGCCAAGAATACAATGTACTCTTTTGCATTATGCATGGAAGTTTATACATTAATTGTATGAAAAAGAATATGCGTTTAAAATACACATTGCAAAATATAAAAGTTATACTCGATGTATTTCTTGGACAAATTTTATCTATGAGAAATCAAAATTTTCGGAGAAAAATGGTTACCAAATACCAAAAAGCCGGTATATAAAGAAAAGAACAAAAGCGAATTAAATGTGAATGTTATATTAATATGGTCAACTATCGTTATTTCGACATCGCTTTTCTCGAATTTTCGTTATCTCGATCAAATTTTAAACGTCCGAATTTCTTTCAATGTTACATCATCAAGTATAGTTATATTGTATATTTCAGATGTGAAAAATGGATTTGAAACCTGGGTACTTGACAGGTATCCTTTTGTTGGGGATACGATAAAGTTGTATTTTAAAGCAAGTATTTTGAAGTATTCGAACCTGACCGTCATGAACCGAACTCATGTGGCACAAGTTGACCCTGGCTGGGATATGGATAGAACAAATATAACATACGTTAGGTATTTTGCTGGTAGCCTTTAGTTACTTGGGATAATGCTGTCATATCATACATGTGAACTTTTTATAATGATCAAGTGGGAGATTTTTCTTTAAAAAGAGGGAGAATTTAGAAATTGTAATTAACAAAGAAGGAAGTTCTGACATAAAAAATAGGGAGATTTCTTTAATTTGTGAAAATACCCCTTATTTTAAGAAAAATCTTTAAAAAATATGGCTGCAGAAAGTGGCAGTCTTCCTCTATAAGTGGTAGAGTTCACATGTATGAATGCTGTAGGTACCTAACATAAAATCGTAATATTAATTCAAGTTTTTTTAGATATTAAAAGATAAACTTTGTGTCCATTTTGTTTTATTGCTGATAGCAAAACATAACAAATCAAACAAAAAACCTAGTGCAAAATAAAAAAATGATCTGCTTTCTGACTGAAAATGAAAAAAGAGAACAAATTTGACATGCATGTATATTGTTAACCGGGGTAAACTGGAGAATTAAATAAACGTTGCTAAGGGTGGGACTATTTAAAACCCTAGGTGCATGATTTGCTTACAGCATAAGGCGATCTCAAACTTTCTCTGCTGGAAACTGTTCTTGTGCGCTAAATAAATTACAGCCGTGCCATGAGAAAACCAACATAATGGGTTTGCGACCAGCATGGATCCAGACCAGCCTGCTCATCCGCGCTGTTCGCTATCAGTTTCTCTACTTGTTATAGGGTTTGTAAGCGAATAGCATGGATCCTGATCAGACTGCGCGGATGCGCAGGCTGGTCTGGATCCATGCTGGTCGCAAACGCATTACGTTGGTTTTGTCATGGTGCATGTCATTTGTTGAAGTATTGACTTGACGGAAGTTAATTCGATGAAGAGATTTTACAGTTAAAATTCAAACCATTTTATTTGATTATTTATATTTGACATTGCAGTGAGAACCATGGGATAAAAATCGTCGTAACAATTAGCCCAATTTCAAAGTTTGACCAGTATGAATTTGTGTGTTTTGGTTATGATGCTCATGGAAGAAAAATAGAACATTCACTTGGAAAATTAAAATTGACTGTAAGAGGTAGGTTTGTCTGTTTCAAATATACGTATGTATGTATATACTACTCAAAATTTGCTAAGGATCACCGTTTTGACATTGCATATTTCAGTCCTATTATCATCATATTAAAATCATATTTCCACTAACAATACACCTGTACGGGGACCTCATAATCGTGTACTTTAAATTATCGATTTGTCATGTACACCTTGCACGATAAGCACGTGGAAAAGCATACCCATGAAAATTTGGTGTTTTATGGCCATGTTGTAAAACTGTGTTCGAAATTAACAAACTATGGCAAATCGATAGGTTAGACGTCGTCTTAGTGAAGATGAGATGAACAGGGGTATTGGAATGTTGGAGACTGGCCGTTCACAAAGGCAAGTTACCCATATCCTTGGAGTATCCCAGAGCGTTGTCTCCAGGATGTGGAACCGATTCCAAATGACTGGAAAACTCTTGCAGGGCCACGTCGGAGGTTGGGAACGTTCAACGACTCAAGTCCAGGACCAATGTATTGTCCCTCAGGCCAGGCGCCAACGGTTCTCGAACGCTACGACCTTACGTAACGACTGAATGCAATTGGTGTGCCTGTAAGCACACAAACTGTTAAAAACAGGTTGCATGATGCTTGGATGCCATCATTTCGCATTCCTTTGACACAACGCCATATTCAAGAGCGTTTGCAATGGGCGCAGACTCATGTCACATGGACAGTTAGTGATTGGACCCCGGTCCTCTTCACTGATGAGTCAAGGTTTTATTGCGGACTTCACGGACAGACAGGCTAGGGTTTGGAGAAGTCAAAATGAACGCTTAGCTCCAGCATGCGTTGCAGAACACGACCGTTTTGCCGGGGGTTCAGTCATGGTGTTGGCGGGAATAAGCGCTCAGGTGAAATCGGACCTACACATCATTGAAAACGGTACCCTGACGGCAATAAGGTATGTCAATGAAATCATAGACGTCCATGTACGCACGTATGCTGGTCCTGATTTCATTAGTATGGATGACAACGCCCGTGCACACAGAGCCCACATCACAAACCAATATCTTGAGGAGGCAACTATAGTCCCCGGATTTAAATCCAATTGAGCATGCTGCAGAAAGCCGTTTCTTCACGCCACGTCCAACCAACAACAATTCAGGAGCTAAGACATGCAATCATAGAGGAATGGGCCCAGATTCCTCATTACAAGGTCCGCAGGTTCATCAGCAGCATGCATCCTGATTTGCAAGATTTTTTTATTCCACAAGTGATCTCCAAAATGTTGATTTTCGCCCAGCACACTTTTTCCACAACTGACACACGTCAAGGAACACTTCCATTTTAATTATTTTCATAAAATTCAATTCCTAACTGTACCGCCACCGTGGTCGAGGGGTTAGACTCGATGACTTCTAATCCAGTTACCTCTGTGGCGTGGGTTCGATCCCCGGGAGATGCTTTGGTAGTTTAGCACGGAGGACGGTAGTCTAGTAGTCTAGCTATTGAAATGAAATTAAAATATTACATGTGTAATTAAAAATAAATCATTAAAAGGTTTACAATGTACATGTACTTAAAAAATCAAAAACAGTGGTTGAATTTCTGAGCTCTTTGTAAAAGTGCATCATCATACTAGTAAGGGTATTTGATTCGTGCACTAGGGGAAATTAGTCCCTTGGACTGTCAAAGTTCTGGTAAATGTTCCGCGTTACAATAACAGTAACCCCCCCCCCCCGCTAGAAGCACCAGAAACAAAACTTTTACATTGTAAAAGGTGACAGATGAAATGTAGAAAAGGATGGCTCATTTCCCTCTCTACCACTAAACTATCCGGTTACCTCAATTGTAGAGCGTTGGTCTGTTAATCGACAACCGGATGGTGTAGGTCACTTTTGTTGTGATTCATCATGAAATCTTTTCCAAGGTCATTCACACTGTACCTCTGCACTTGTATGTACAAAAGTTTTAGTTCATTGCGAAAGTGAAGGCAGCTACTACTGGTTAACTGCTTGACAGCCTGACAAGGAATAATGCGGTGGCTAAGATTTGCTCTGGTAAATTCTGCCGTTATCCGGATTGAAAACTACCACCACCACCGCCGCCACCAGTACCCTCCGCCCTTTTCCGGTGTTATTGTTCATGGTTACAAATGACTTGTGCATGTACAATAAATGTGAAGTATGAATATGGTTTGACTACATAAAGAATTGACCAGATAGACGTATTTTATTCATTATTTTATCAATCCTTTTTTCATACAACAGATATTGTACTTCCACATTTTTTGACTGAACGCAAAATGGTATTTTTCGAAGATAATAGTTTTGCGTACGACTGTGAGGTGGGAGGCCTGCCAATACCTGATGTATACTGGTACAAAGATTCTAGGAGGTTTGACCAGAATAATATTACAGAAGGATACAAAATTACTGATGACGGTCAGAGGTTTGTACAAATTTTAACATTGTCGGAGAGCGGTGACCTTGGGGTTGAACAGTGTGTCTCTCAACCCAGATATCATGAGTTTGAGCCCTACTTGGGTCACGTGCATGTATTTCTAATATGACACCAGTACTGCTTAGTCTCAGAAACTGGACTTGAAAATGGAGCATATAAGCTTAGAACTTTTGATGGTCAAGAGCCAGATAAAATGAAGAAATGTCTTAACCAAATTTTACAAAATACATGTATGTTCAATTTTTGGAGTTTGTACGATATCTGAAAGTCAAAGTCGTCACAGTTCATATCTGAAAGTCAGAGTCTTTATACTGGGAAATACATTCAAACGTACAAGTACGTGTATGCCTTTTCTCACGAAACACGTGCAACAAATACTTACTATAAGACGTATCTTATTTATCTGATTTGGTCCTGCAAAGGCGGAACATCTCCCAAGCTAACATATATAATATGTAATACTTAAAGTAAATTAACATGTGTTTGTTTGTTTATTTGATTGGGTTTTACGTCAAACTGACAAAGTATAGGTCATATGGCGATTTTCAAACTTTACTGGTGGAGGAAGACCTGCCCTTCCGTGCATTTTTCAGGCACAAACGGGCATCTGAGTAGAACCAGCGACGTTCCGTAAGCTAGCTTGATAGCTTCATCACATGAAAGAATCCGAAGTCTCTGTCGGGATTCGAACCTACAAGGGTAAATTAACATATATCTACTTACAAATACAAACATTTTCATAATGATAAAAGTTTCCGTGTACCAACAATATAACTAGTAAAATAAGAAAAAATACCAACAAAAAAAAACTGCAAAACTATTTTAATGATTTTTTTTTTAAATGCTTCAAAACAACAATTTTTCTTCAAAAGTGTGTGTAAGGCCATGTTTTTACATGGAAAAAACTTGATTTATTCCAATGTTTTTCATCACTTTTCTGTAAAACTTTGAAATTTGTAAAAACTAATGTTTATAATACCGTCTGCTAATATCTTACTTATCCATCATGTACATTATATTTAGTACTGCGCCACCTATGTTCCTATGTCAAAATCTAAAAAGTGTAAGCTTTCTTCTATTCGCCCACTGTTTTTGTTCATGGTTTGCAATTCTGCTTTATAATTCATCAATTTAACACAGAAAAAATAAATATTGCGCCTTTTTGTCGTTAGATTGAGAATACACGCAACGGATTCGAGTTTTGACGGACTTTATGCATGCACTGCAGAGAACAGAGGCGGCTCCGCTTTTAGAAGGTTCAATTTTACCTATGGTATGTTTGAGATTATGTATGTTAACTCTGGAAAATCAACATGTTGAACAGCCAGTTAAATTTTAACAAATTTATCTTTGTTTATTGTTAAAACACTACAAAATGTTGATCCAGTCAGTGAAATCGTACATATCAGTTAGGCGCGTTACGTTGCTCTTAAGATCCATTGTATTTATTCAAGAATGAACAATATCAAAAATAGAATATGAAAGTCAACTGAATCTTTTCGTGAAAAATAGTACGTATCATATATTAATTTCCATTTGCATGAAACTACAGAATTTCCACTAAATTCTCAGGTAAAGTTAACAATAAAAAATAACTTAAATAAGTTGTTTAGGCAAAGCTATTGTAATATAATAAAAGGCTGTGGCAACTATTAAGCAAGTATCTTAGAACGGGAAAAAATTTAATTCCTATATCTATACTTAGTAAAATTATTTGTATTTCTTTCAACAGAGGAGTCGCACCGCCCGTCACCGTCTATGTCGATGTCGTGGACAACAATCGTCATAATTGTTTGCTGCGCTATTATTGCCACAATTATTATTATTGTGATGTGCTTGTTTTGTATAAAGAAGAGGAAAAAGTCTGTAAAACCTGTAAGAATTTTGAATATTGATAAACTTTAATTATAAAGCCACAAAATAGTGAGTATAATAGTGATCCCAAAGTATTAAAGCGGCATATATACATACACATGAATAAAGTACACGAGCATTTAAAAAAACAAACAAAAAAAAAACAAGAGCACTGCAGGCGGTGACTTGATAAACACGTATTTCAAGTCTGAGACTCGTTCCTTTCATAGTTTTGAAATCATTCAGGTAAGTGAGCAATTTTGAGAAAGAAAAGAATTTAAAAAGGATCAAACTTCAAATATACTGCTTTCCAAGTAATGCCCTTACCTTGTGGTGATATTATAAAGCAAGTTTTCCAAGTTTCATGTTGAAACATATCAAAATATTTGAATAATGTGCTTCACGAAGACGACAAAGATGCCGCAAACATAAAAACAGGGTTTTTCTTTCAAAACAGACGACCTAAATATTAAAAACTTAGGATTTATACATGCTTAGGCTGAGAAATATCTAAATTGCACAATACAGGTGAAACCTGGAATTACTATATTTATATCTCCAACGTTCCACCACGTTATTAACATGGTAAAAGAAAAGTTACAGGCAATTTCTGTGAAATGTACTGTCTTAGACGAGATGAACAAGTCCACAACACTTTCACTTATATACCAACTTTAAAAAAAATCTACAAGAGCTGCCAATAGGACATGGTCCTCGACTATTCTCAGTCTGCTCGTAAAACATTTTGGCAAATATTTTCAGCATAATTGGTTCAATCTACGTGGTACTGAAATACTAGTGACGCCATAGATGGTATATCTAGATAGTCTATTTAGATCTGCTTTCAGAAGTTATCAAATCATTGTCTTGTTATTTTCAAAATGCCTTCAGTCTTTTTCATTATTATTTTTATATATTTTCAGCCAAACAACTTAGAACAGATTTTGATGAAACGCAGACAGGAAACAGAAGGAAATCCGTATGCCACTTGTTAACAAACAAATGCGCCCGCGTTGCATTGACGTCTTTAATGACGTCACAGACTTGTTGATATATAAAACGTATCTGTTTTACTTATATTGCTTGTTATAGCTATTTATTGACTCTTTAATGCATGAAATATAACATGGTAAAATAATTGGAATAGTATGTACAAGCAGAGATGTAAGTAACGGAAATGTGGAAATGTATTTTAGCTCCGTAGTACAACAAACTGGCATTGGCTATGCAAGAGAGTCCAGGAAACTTCACATAAGTTTCGTTCACGTAATATCTTGTGTATGATAAGATAAATTGGCAAAGAAACATCTTCATCAAGCTACAGTGAAACATTTTATCTAAGGAATAGCCTTCAATATTTTATTTTAAAATATTTCACATTTTCGCGAGATACTCGACAATTCAGAAGGTCTTCCCCTTAGAATCGAAAGAGCTTTTAATATGGCTACAATAATTCGACGAGTTTATAATCAGTTTGAAGTGAATGATAGTCATATTTTAATTTTGTAAACAATCATTTTTTGTTAATGTAGGTACAATTCGTTCATGTAAAGTTACTCATACCATAAATCATGTAAATGGTGCGTATGTTTGCGTTTGTTTAACCTCGCCACCGGAAAGAGACCATATGGGCTAGCAAATAGCGTGACCCTAAGAGGCGACTTAATGGGTCCGGATAATTTGAGTCTATGCATCTCATAGCTCCAGCAGGTGAGGTGGTTTGGGCCCATGGTGTTGTTTAAAGCCAACACCATATTAGCCAAAATCATCTTTCCTGTTTCGGCGCCATATGACCTTATACGGTACCAAACAAACAAAACAAAGCCAGAAGTTATAAGCCCACAATCTTCCGGGCGTTTAAGAAAATAGGTAAATGTGTGCCTTAAGTAGACCTACAAAGGTGACTTTATATTAAGTAACAGAGCTTTAATTTGCAAAATAATAATGTAACACTTTTCTCATAACAGTAATTCATGGCCTCAAAAACAACATAACAACTTAGTTTGTGTCATTCCATAATGACGTGTCATTTATTTCTCTAACTTTTGTAAAGTGTACACACTGATGGAAGAATGTTGGCCTTAGTTTTACAACTCCTAAAGCACAAGTACATGAATAGTAAGAAGAAAAGCTTAACAAAACAATTATATCACATTCTATTATTGCATTTTTAAATCTAGTACAATATCAAGGCACATTTCTTCTGACACAGTCACTAACAAATTGTTAAAGATTTTCAGCGCAGTGCTTTTACAAATGATGTCATTTGATCAAAGGGAAACAACTCAATAAATGTTTATATATAATCATACATTTAGCTTTTGTATTAGTATACAACCTCATTATAAAACACTGTAAAATGGAAGGTAAAACACACGGAAGACTAGTTAGATGTTAATTTTTTTAACAATATACAAGGGAAATGCATTCATTTTTACACAATTTATGCATTACTTTGATTTTTTTTCTGACCTGGCAAAATGATATCAGAGAGTATGATGTCAAAGATCAGTCAATATTATGTCAATTACTTTTCTGCTGAATAAAGTTCTACTTATCTATCATTCTATTCCCATACAAATTTTGTAATTGGAGGAAGCTGATGTGTCATTGTTTAGTATTGCATAACAAGTCTTTCAGGTAAATAATAATTTCATTCATTCTCATATATGTAATTAAAGCGATACCTGACTCCCCTCGTTACCATAATAACTGTGCATATGAACGCCAAACTGTGCAATATTAGGTAGTACACTTCCTAAAAAAATTAAAATGTAAATGCATGTTAGCTTCAATTTAATCATTCAGAAAAGTTTATCAGATAACAATTTAAAATTCATACATTCTACACTTAGCATGCATATACCTATATGTAATAATTGTGTAATAATTTTATATTCAGCAAAACTACAATATATAAAAGATCTCAAAGGAGTTGCCATACAATATAAAATCTTACTTAATAAATTCCAGACATTGTTATAAAGTCAGTTTAATAAAAGACTATATGATATAACAACAAATGTTTCTTTTTATCTAATGATCAAAAACATAGAAATAATGAGAGTGAAAAGCTTATTCTGAAATTTTACTTGGCAAAAATGATGTCATCACAGTGGTATTACATGTACACAGGTGTAATATAAAGAGATATGAGCCGCGTCATGACAAAACCAACACAAATTGCAAATGCGTATGCGACCAGCATGGATCTAGATCAGCCTGCGCATCCGCGCAGTCTGATCAGGATCCATGCTGTTCGCTTACAAACCCTATAACAAGTAAAAAACTGATAGCGAAAAGCATGGATCCTGATCAGACTGCGCGGATGCGCAGGCTGGTCTGGATCCATGCTGGTCGCAAACCCATTATGTTGGTTTTGTCGTGACGCAGCTCAATTATGTATATGGTTACAATGACATGGAAAACAAACGACGTAATTAATATTCATGTGATCTAGATGTAAATTGGATTGAAACTAGAAGGGGTTTTTGTCACAAAAACATATTTCTCCAAAATCAAGGTATGGTACTGATAACTCCTATGAATTTTGGTTGAAATTCCGCCAGCAGTTTGTCATGTGAAAGCAGGATTTTTTCTATTTATAGCTTGAAAGCGAAACAAGTTCTTGTTACTTATAATCTTCCTAAAAGTATTATTAACCTGCACAACTGGTGCCATATAAGACAAACATTATATTGAATCATGACCTGAGTAAGGCTTAAATCCACAATTGTTTTTGTATTATCTGCTGTATTATTATACATTTTGAAACTAAGGTGTTCTTAGTCAATAAACTGTTAATCTGGCAAATAATGATTTATCTGATGAAGAATGTTGTTTGTTCATTTGTCACATAATACTTTCATTTACAATTTTTAATGAGAAATAGTCTGTTCAAAGTTTATGTCTTTTTTGTTTTTTTTTCATGAAAGTACTACATTTAATAATTATATAAAATACAACGTCATGGTACTTGAAGAATATTAGATCATTGGCTTAATTACTGTTAATGTATAGAACTAAACAAAACTCATACATTTAAACATGTCATGACTTTCCTAATATATAACAGAAAAATAATTATCTTAGACTAGAGTAGAACTTAATTATCACTATATTATCAATACAGATAAACTCTTACTTTCTCTCTACATAATGATATACATATATATCTGAGGCCTTTTGCTGCCAATTTTGAGAGCTTTATGAACTTTTTAATCACTTTCTTTCATTTACTTAAGCAGTTGTGTATATTGTATACATATGTAGAAGCCTTAAATTATTGACTAAATCAAGGGTGCTAACTCTGACTTTTCTAATCTGATATAATAGAAAATTTAAACAATATTCACAATATCTTTATATTGTCTCGATCATAATCTTTAACTTAAGCGGAATGATTGTCACAGGATTTTTTGAATGTATGTATGTATAACACATAGACATAAATTATACATAACAAGAGCTAATATGAACACCCGCCACCTCCACGACAATTCCCTTAAGTTTAGGGAAAAATATATTTGACAACATTTCTGCTATAAGTCAGTATTTAACAATTATATTAACTAAAATTTAATACCTATCATTATGTTCTACGACAGATCAGATTTAACTACCCATAATAAAAATTATTGCTCTAGCAACTGCAGCAAGTTCTGTATTCCTAGGAATTATTTCACTCTTTTTATATTAGTGCTTTTCGTGGCATATTCCTGTGAATAATTGTAGCTTCAAAATTGCACATAATAACATGTAAGTAGTGAACATATGTAGCTTCAACCAACGAGATTAACATTATGATGTACAAAATTTAATGTACTATGGGTAATGTAAACAAATGCTTAAAGTGTGTAAAGCTATATCTTTGGTGTTTTGGATGTCAAAAATATTGTTTATATAATAATTAAAATAGCTACAAAAACTGTAAATCAAAAGAAGTTTATCCATATATTTTAATGAAAGCGAATGGAACATGCGTTATATAATCGCTAAACCAACTTAAATAGTAGGGGAATATTTTGTTCCGGAACATTTTATTCTGATTTACGTACAATATTAACCATGTAATTATATTAGTATTAGCAATTAATGAAAATGTAAAAGTGTTTGACTTAAGTGTTCTGAAAAACATTTGTCAAAATCTTATGCTATAGACTTGTATCAGCATTATACAGGTATGAGGTAGCTAGAACAGACATAGTAACATAGTTGTAATAATTGTTATATATCAACATTTAATATGTTCATTACCACAGGCACGAAAAAGTGCTTCTTTGACCGCGGGAAAGACATTCTCAGTGAAAACTAGCTATATTTGAAAAACAGGAAATATTGTAGCTGCAAAATTTCTAGGAAGACAGAACCTTTAACAATGATTATCTATGTATAATTTCTATACTTAATTTTGATAGTCAGTTATTTTAAACAATATTTGTAGATATAATTACAAATAAGACATAATTACATATTAATCACAGAGCAGACAGTTAAAGCTAGAGCCAGTATTGGACTAAAAGCCTATAACAACAGAAAATCACACACTAGTGACAAATGGTCTGACGGGTATTTCAAAGAAGGGAGGCGATTTTTCCCAATTTCTTCTTCCACAGCTATATTCAATACAGATTTGACCTTTAACCCTTTATTACTATACCATATATAATCAATGGTATGACATTCTTCACCCTTTGGTCTAATTTTCCATGTTGTGTACTTTGGTTCCTCGTTATTTTTACTCAATAAAGTGTATGCGCTGTTAAGCCCTATAGAACAAGACTTCATCACAGAATAGACTGGTTCAGTAGCCTCGGCATTAAAATCTCCGCAGTAAATAACCGGAGCATCGTTACAATTTTCTTGCAAATAATTTGATATGTACTGGCCTTGTAACTTCCTTTTCTCCTCATACCCTCGTTTTGCCTTTAAGTGTGTAGCCCCCACATAAAATATCTTCGGATCCTTCGTCTTCGTTTGAAACTGAGCAATTACAGTAACATGATTCGACTGCTGTCCATTCTCTTTCAAAATTTTGCTATCTGACTGACTAAGAACAAGTTTAGAGGTGTCGTACAATATTGCTGTACCATCAGGACCTATGTTATTTGTTTGATATAAACAAGGGGAATCAGGCTTCTCACTATAGACACCAGCATAGCCTAGTTTAGACAGACATTCAAACAAATATGGGTAGAAATCCACCTCCTCTATACATATCACAGTTGGACAGTATCTTGTTATTTCTTCCAATACCCGTAACTTTCTTGACTCAAATTCTAATGCCTCTTTTGGACACTTCATAAAGTTATCTGCACCTCCACAAAGACCTGCAGACAGAAAATTAATATTTCTACATCATTATCATGATGGGACTTTCAAAATAAATCAAACAAGGCGCTATATATAGAATTATAACCTAATTTTAGTATCCATCTTAAGACACAACTATTTAATTGTTATGTGACAATGAGAACTTTGTTTAACAGGTCTCTTCTGAAACATAATTTTCTATTTCAAAATTAACAAAAAATATACTTACTGTTTTGCACATGTTTTGTTTGTTTGTTTGTTTCATTTTACGCCTTTTCCTAACAGTATTTCAGTCATATGGGCGGGTAGTTTCCTAACCATCGTTCCTGGAGAGTTACACCAGTACTAGACTACCTTCCTCCACGCTAAACTACCAAAGCATCTCCCGGGGATCGAACCCACGCCAGAGAGGTAACTGGATTAGAAGTCATCGACTCTAACCCCTCGACCACGGAGGCGGTTCACATGTACATTGTATAGTGAAACATGAGATATAATATTTGAATTATTTAGAACTGTTCAAAAACTCTCTAACTAATGTTGATATGCATCTCTTTGGTGACTATTTTCTAGCAGTGCAATATACATACTGCTACATTGATATATTGAAATGCAGTGAAAGGCAATACATACCTGATATTTTCTTAAATGTTTAATCAAACTATTTGATGACATATTCTGACTATTTTCAAGCACTGTAACCTTGTAACTGGTCAAACACCTTTATTCTCTATCGTGTGATAACGACTTTAAAACTTTTCAATCAAGTTTTAACTAAAGTGCATTGAATATTTTGTAGCGGTTAAAGAAATAGTAGCTTTACTTTTACACTGTTTTTTTCTTGATAAAAATCAAAATTGAATTATATTCTGCAACACATGTTTGCATATGTACATGTATATGACTATACCCCTACTAAGATTTTAATATATGTAACAGATATTTTATGTTATGTTTAATTTAAATAAAACTACAATTAACTATAAAGAATACCTTGTGCAAGAATATTCCATTGCATGACTCTAACAATGTCACCAGTGTCCGAGCTTATCTCAACAAAATCTCTGTGGATCAAGGGAGGTAACTCTAACTTGCTTATCTCAGCTTTTACCTCAGCTGGTACATGGCTCTGTTCTGATGATGCCATCTTTATTATCTATTATACCCTGAAAGGAAAAAGGTAAGATTTAACCTGATTGTTTAATTATTATGATAAAGATACATAAAATATAAATATTTAGGTCTATGTACACAAATGAATTCAAAAAATCTTGGGACATATGATTTCTATATTTGCAATATAATCACTGCATACTCTATATGATATACCCTAAGATTTGGTCCATATTCAAACTAGCCAATCTAAACTGAGGCTATACTATCAAAGGCTGTAGAGTTACATAATATGAAAAGATTAATGAATAAATTAAAAAACAAGAAACAAACTAGATGCACAAGGGCAACATGGCAGGCCTGCTGTCATGTCTGACCTTGAGCTTTGACCTAGTCACAAGGTTCTTGCGCATGACACACCATCTCATGATATTGAACATTTTTGTCAGGTTATCTGAAATTCCACCAGCTTGTGCATACAAGCTGTGTGAGACCATTTTCTTGCATATGACTTTAAAGAATGACCTTTACCTTTAACCTTGCCAAACAGTTCTAGCGCTTGACATACCATCTCATGATGTTGAACATTTGTTCCAGGTTATTTGATCAGCTAGTGGTAGAGTAATGGTGCGACCAAGCTATTTCAGACCTTTTTTGGGGAATTTGACATTAAAGTAGGACCTTGACCTTTGACCTAGCAACACGGTTCTTGCACACCATCTCATGAAGTTGAACATTTGTTTCAGGTTTTTTGAAAGATATCAATGATATATCAATGTTGTGATATATAAGGACTGATGACCCTACAATGTATGTAACAGATACATGAATGACCTGTTACAGACCAGACGGTGACCTCTATATGATTCAACAGAGAAACATAGTTACATTACATTGTACATGTATGTATATAAGGTATTGTAGTAGTAGTGAAGCTCATTACTTAAAACATGTTCTTACAATTCATCCCTTATGTATAAAATAATGATCACTTTAGACATTAAGTTCCGGACAAACAGGAATGTATTCCTTTTGTCAATTCATTTAAGTTTTATTTATACAGTGGATACATGTAACAAACACCAACATAGTATATCTTAACATACATTATGCCAGTCCTATAAATATGACGATGCTTAGAGACATTTTTACTTTTTGGCTTGACCATCATAAACTGTAACAAGTCTGTAATGTCTGATATATTCAATTGGACAAACATTATCATTAAACATACATTAACGAGAAAGATGGTTCTAAGGGCCTACTGGTTAGAAAAGTGGGAGTTGGAGTGGGATATGGAATTTAACCCCTCCAAGTGTCAAGTTATCCACATCGCAAAAAGGAAACATCCTATTCCATCACAATACTACCTTCATGGAGTCCAATTAGAATTGGTTATCTTAGCTAAATACCTAGGCTTGGATATATCAGAAAACCTTATGTGGGATGCCCATATAGACTGTTTGTTTGTGTCATTTTACGCCTTTTTCCAACAGTATTTCAGTCATATAGGCGGGTAGTTTCCTAACCATCGTTCCTGGAGAGTTACACCAGTACTTGACTACCTTCCTCCGCGCTAAACTACCAAAGCATCTCCCGGGGATCGAACCCACGCCAGAGAGGTAACTGGATTAGAAGTCATCAACTCTAACCACTCGACCACGGAGACAGGACATCGAAGAAAGCAAAGCAAACCCTAGGATTCCTTCGCAGAAACATAAAGGTTAAATCCCAATTCGTTAAGTCCATCGCTTACCAGACGTTAGTCAGACCCCAGCTTGAATATTATGGTTCTGAAGTATAGTTAATAGTTATAGGTTATTCAAAGCAACCTCAGACTATTATAAATTCTCATTCTTTCCTAGGACGGTATACCACTGGAGCCACCTCCCCCCTGCAGTTGCCCTTCTCCCTACCCCAGAGCAGTCAATGCGGCCGTAGCTTGCATCGAACATGTCTCTCCCTAGTTTTCCTGGGCCTGTTTTTAATATTTTTAAATATTCTTTTATCTTCTTTTTAAACAACTCTTTTTAACTTTCTTTCGATTTTAGATGCGCAGACATGTCAACGTCCCCATGAGGGGTTTGACATTAATGGAAGACAGATGGATACCTTCTATAAACGAGTTTATATATAGGCCTCCTCTTTCAAAAAATCTTAAATACTTCACTATGTTTTATATTGAATTCATTCCCCTTTACCATTCCATATTTATCAGTTTATTGATTTATAAATCAATAAAGCTCTCATCTGTAGCAGTGGCTAACACATTCATTGACAGTTATTGAACGAATCGTCGAACTGTCCGGTAGAAATAATGGGTCAGAATGTTCTAGCAGTCAAAATGCCATAGCCAAGAAGCCTAAGGGGTCAAAAAAGTCATGGAGTCTAACGTTAAGGTGTTATAGCCAATATGGGTTCATCCGGACACAAGTGCACTTTAGATGTATTTCGGACTTTCGCTCATTCTCAATAAAACACAGCATTTGATGTTCCACTGGGTAGCTCTTATACGAAGGTTTTTCTTGAGGTCAAAATGTCGTTAGAAAGGTGGCTGCCACTTTGTCTAATAGGGACACTCTCCAGTTTTACATTTCTATCTGTTATTTTTCTTTTAAAAGTACCATTAATGCCCTAAAATGTAACATACGTTACTGTCGCCACCTAGAATTTTCAACTTTGAAATTGTGTTTCAGAAAAATAAGTTCCAGAATAAACGAAACATGTGCAATTAGTCATTGCTGTGTGTATATGAACTTTGATTATTGGTAAAAATTATATTTGACTGTTAAAATCTCATTGGTATAATGGATGATCAAATGTCGCCAAATGCATATAAATAAATAGTGACAAACCTAAAACAATAAGAAGTGAAACCGAAATTACATAATTGAATCGATGCATGCTTAATAATACAGCATATATATAATCATAAGTAAAAATAAGCTTGCAGCCTCTCAAATATCATTCTATTTTCGGAAATTTTCATTTTTTATTCAAATCTTTTCAACAGCACTTTAAAAAGAAACATACGTTACCATTATTTTAGAGCGAATCCATTCAAAAAAGAATCCAAACAAGAAAGAAAATTAACATGTGTGTAACTCTGATATATTAACCACAAATTATGGCGGCTTAAACGGTCTTGCGTCATTTTTAACCCACTTTCAATGTAAAAATGAAACATACGTTACAGAAACATACGTTATCAACTTTTTAAAGTAAGTTTATCAAAAGGGAAATTGAAGTCAGAAAGCACGTATAACAGCAACATTAACTTCTATTTGACATTAGTAAGTAATTTTGTTAACTTTGGTCGAGTTTTTACTTGTTTAAATAACCACAGTGAAACAAACGTTACTTTTATCAAACAGACTTTATATTGTTTACACATGCATATATAAAAAACATAAAATCGCATTTTTATGACAATAGAATGATGTGCATTTGATTCCTAATAAAAAAGTCGATTTTACATGTAAGTTTAAATTCCGTGATAAAGTTCATAAATAAGCGAGTTAGAAACATACGTTACTCCAACTTACAATTCAACAATTTTTGAAAATTAAAGATAAAGTTGGGATTAGCATGCCTGTTAGTAACGGTTACCTTGTATTAGATGTAAGAAAACACAAAATTGTTTTTACAAAGGGAAGATAAGTTAATAATATGCTGATGTACAAGCAAAAATGTTAAAAATATATTACAAGATATTGATGTTCTTAGCAATAACTAATTCGTTTCTGCAAAGAGCTTACTGGCCGTTTTTAATTCTATATATAATAATGTTAAAATAATATCCATAAATATAAATTATTTTACAAAAAATAAAATTGTTGTCTCAACCTTTACTTGCATTTGAATAAAATGAAACATACGTGACATCCTATATGGGAATAAATATCGAACTGCTTAGTACTAAATTTTCCAAATATTAAGAAAGTGGAAAGTTGAATGTTTTGAAAAAAAATTGCTAATACAAAATTTGTGTATGCATTCGACCTCTCATATATTATATATGATATATATCATTTGAATGAAGACATAAAATAATCATTTCCAAAATTGACTATTTTTGCTTTCTACGAATATTTAACTTTGACGAAATTGACTGAAAATTAGCAAGGTACCCAACCTCTTTGAATTTTCCTGGGTTAGAAAGTCCCTCTAGATAGAGAATTTACAGATTTTGATATATTTTACAGACATTTGTTATTAGTATGCAGCCAATATGTTACATTATTAGATCTGAAATCTACGTTACCGAAGAAATACAGTGTCATTACCGAAATAAATGCCATCCTGTTATATCATAGTTTCTTGTTCAAAATATTTCTGGCAAACTTGCAAAATACCCTAAACTTTTACTTCAGCGATAAAAAATGACACAATGACAACATCAAATTTTTAATATTTTTCAACCTCAAATGCTTTATTTTATTGAGAATGGGCGTTTACGCGTATCACATAGATTGACAATGAGAATATAACACTAAATATCAAAAACCCTTTAGAATGTTATTGTCATATTGTTGTTAAACGTGAAAAGTACATCGAATATCGAATTATTATCAGTAATAGGCAAGTTGATTGTTATTGTTTTGATTCGTATATTTCCGCGCATGCGCATTTACTGGTTGGCAGAAACAAAAGAAATAAACATGGCGTCAAAGGAAAACGATATGATGGTGGCGAGTAAATTAACAACGCAGATTTCTCATTTAGATACAATTTCAATGAATAGATATGCTGAAAAGTTGCTTGTAGATGGATTTATGATTCCCGATCCGTACGGGACAGGTTTAAAGTACGAGAACTCAACACAGAAGTGGCCGAATGTTTTGTTTGGTGACATTTATAACTACCTGATCAATACGCCAGGAATCTACACGCAAGAAAGTATGAAAGCGTATAAATCACTTGATGGGTACAATTTCTTCGCGTGTGGTCATGTCCAGGAAGTCCTATTTTCTGAAGTTTCTGGTGATAGCCCATTTTGTGTGTTGAA